TGACCTCCCTGATTAAGCCCGTACCCAACGGACGACTATCTAGGGCATGAACGGGGAAAGGAACATCAACAGGAATAAGGGGAATCCCTAACGCTAAACAAAACTTTTTATCAATAAAATTCCCAGCCGCGCCTGAATCTACCAGCGCCTTATGCTGGGAATGAGGTGCTACCTGTGGAAAACGCACAGGCATCCAAAAATGGGCAACAGTGAGCTCTGGGTGAGTGGGGCGCCTACTCACCTGGAGGGAATCCCCAGTGCGGGACCTGTCGTCATCCTCCCTAGGAGGCCATCCCCAGCACCTAGCCGCGGTGTGTCCTCCCCGACCACAGTTGGTGCAGTGGATGGACCCCCTAACCAACCAACTCCTCCTCTCTCTAGCGCCAGTGCCCCCGAGCTCCATAGGACACGGCTCGGAGGCGCTGGAGGGTGAAATGGACGGACCCCCTCAGGACGTCCGCGGGTGGCCAATAGGTTATCCAGCCTGATGGACATGTCGACCAGCTGGTCGAAAGAGAGACTGGTGTCCCTACAAGCCAGCTCCCGACGGACGTCCTCTCGTAGGCTACATCTGTATAGATCGACGAGGGCCCGCTCATTCCACCCTGCATCTGCCGCTAGAGTACGGAATTCGAGAGCGAATTCTTGGGCACTCCTCCTCCCCTGCCGGAGGAAGACCAGACGCTCCCCCCGCCGCTTTCCCCTCCGGGGGATGGTCAAACACCGCCCTGAAGCGGCGGGAGAACTCGTTGTAGGTGATAGTCTCTGCGTCGATCTTCCTCCACTCCGCGTTGGCCCATTCCAACGCCTTCCCGGACAGGCAGGAGATCAGGGCGGACACGCTCTCATGCCCCGAGGGTGCCGGGTGTACGGTGGCCAGGTACAGCTCCACCTGGAGGAGGAATCCCTGACACCCAGCCGCGGTTCCGTCGTAGGCCCTCGGGAGAGAGAGTCGGATTCCTCGGGTTCTGGCGCTGGAATGGGCGGACTGGCCGATGGTGCAGGCAGGGAGGGAGGTGGTGGAGGCGCTCCCCAGCCTCGGAGCGTGGTGATCACCTCCTGCAGGGCGGTCCCCATCTGCTGTATCTGGTCCTGTTGTTCCCGAACCTGGACCTCCAGTCTCGTCGGGGCTGCTTCGGCTCCTGCTGATTCCATGTCTGGTGTGTAATTCTGTCACGGTGTTTGAAATGGTGTGGTGTGGAATCAGGCGCAGAAGCAGATGTACAGTCCAACAAGACTTTACTAGCGAGTGCAAAAATAATACAAAACGGCCAGAGGCCAAACAGACGCACACAGGCGTCAAACACGAGCGCACAAACACAGGGCGCAAAAACTCTCCTCAACCGAGGAGGAAGCAATATCGTAACTGGCGTACCTAAACACCGGTAACGCACAAACACCTGACACGAAACAATTACACACAACACTCCACTAACAACAAGGAAACTAAATAGGGTGCTTAATGAGACATAACACAAGACAGGTGTGGCTAACAGACAAAACTAATCAAACAGGAAACATGGAACATACAACGGTGGCAGCTAGAATTCCGGAGACGACGAACGCCGAAACCTGCCCGAACAAGGGAGAGAGGCAGCCTCGGCCGAAACCGTGACACTTGGGAAACTGACAGATCAAAAAAGTTACATTACCATACTGAGTAATACAACTCACATTGCACTGAAAAAACATCAGAATATAAATTTTCAATCGTTTGGCCAATGATTTCATAGTTTGATTCAGGTCTAGTTTGATTGATGCAAAAATAATATCTAATGTAAGCCAACTTTTGGCCAGCTCTCTCTCTAACGGTACATCAACTGGCGAAGGCTTGCCAAGTTCATTTACTTCTGAAACGGGACAAAACAAAGGCTACAAAACATTTCCATACAAACAACTGCTGTTAGATAGTAATAATAGCCACCTCATATCGCTATCTGACAGATAACTAGAGGCTAGAGCTACTCACTAGCATAGCTTATTCATTCACCTCAGTCGAGAGGGGATAAAACATTAGCTAATGTTACATGTCAGTTACAATACTAGCTCAGCACTGTGAATAAACACTAGTTTAGTTTTTTTTTTCTGTTAAGTTAAACAGCAGTTACCTTCAGTCAACTAAAGAGTAGCCAGTTTCTGTTCTGCTACCTTTTACAACTTGGTGAAAGAGCGCAACACATACACACTAATCATGCTCAACTCTCCCGTGCTGGTCCAGCCAGTCTTCCAGAAGCTTTGTCTTCACACAGCCTGTTAGCCCACTCTGTGGTGTCCGCGCGGTCCTATATCCAGTCGCATGAACACTCCAAACAGCCTACCCAATCGCTCGGAGGCATCCACATGGTCCTAAAGCACACTATTCCCTGTTTTGTATCACATTACAATGCTAAAACTAGGGGGGACAAAAATGCAATTTCATAAAGTGGGGGGGGGGGAACATGTCCCCCCCGTCCCCAGTGATAGTTGTGCCCCTGCCTTGTCCATAGACTAAACCAATATCTAATTTTGTAATCTGGATGAACTATCCCTTTAATCACATGGAACAGCACCATCAAGTGTTCAGAACCTGGTAATATCAGGATTGGTCATTTAAGCCTTAGCTAATGAGTAAAGAAATTGCCATTGTGAGAGCGTGAGAATAAGTTATGATAGATCAGATGCCTGCTACTCATGTGAGTTTATGGCTGTAATACTTTCATTTCAGAGGTGTCTAAATAAAACAGGTTTAGCTCTAGCAGCCCTTTGACTGCCTTGTAACAGAGTATCAGAGCAAGACGTTCCTATCTGTCAGCTAGTGATTATTCTATATTCTTATATATTCTTCTCCCACTTATTACAGATGTCCGACTTAGATATGTTGAGCATCCTGCTATGATGTCCATCACCAAGCTGGAACACTCTGAGGCCAACCCTCAGTGCCAGACTGGCAGCCGGCCGGTGGCTGAGCCCGAGACCCCTGCTGTTCAGAGAAACGGTGGAGGCTGGCTCAGCTGGGTCTTCTGGAGTGGAAAGGTTAATAGGAAGGAGCTTCATCTACCTGAGGACAAAGACAAATCTGTAAGGAACCTATTATTTATATTTTATATAGAGACAATTGAGTGGATAACTGCGAGTGGCGCAACGGTCTAAGGCACTGCATTTCAGTGCTTGAGACGTCACTACAGACCCGGGGTTGATCCCAGGCTGTGTCACAGCCGGCCGTGACCGGGAGACCCATAAGGCGGCGCACAATTGGCCGGGATTTCCTTGTCCCATCGCGCTCTAGCGACTCCTTGTGGCGGGCCGGGCGGCTGTAAGCTGACTTCGATTGCCAGCTGGACAGCATTTCCTCCAACACATTGGTGCGGCTGGCTTCCAGGTTAAGCGAGCAGTGTGTCAAGAAGCAGTGTGGCTTGGCAGGGTCGTGTTTCGTAGGACGCATGGCTCTCGAATTTTGCCTCTTCTGAGTCCGTAAGGGAGTTGCAGCGATGGGACAAGACTGTAACTACCAATTGGGGAGAAAAAGGGGTTGTCTGGGATCCAACTCTGCACAGCTGGGTTGACAAAAATGAGCCCAATGCTGAGGTATACACTTCAATTCAATTCAATTTAAAGGAGTGAATGACCAATGTATTTAAACATTTTGAAAATGTGTTGATGTGTTTTACAGAACAAGCTTGTACCACCACCTTTACCGATGGGGATGTATGGATATCTGTGGAACTCTGGCAGTCTCCCCAAAGGAGTGAATTCTTACTCCATGAAAGCAGTTGAATATTGCTTTAGACTACATGAGGTTTCATTTCAAGACTGTGTCACCATAGCTTTCTCTGGTGATCTCCTGCTAACATCTTTCCGGCCAGCTCTAGGAAGAGTCTTGGTGGTTCCAATCTTCTTCCATTTAAGAATGATGGAGCCACTCCAATCAAGTTGTAGAAACATCTCAAGGATGATCAATGGAAACAGGATGCACCTGAGCTCAATTTCGAGTCTCATAGCAAAGGGTCTGAATACTACTTTTATTTGTAATACATTTGCTAAACATTTTAAAAAACCTGTTTTTGCTTTGTCATTATGAGGTATTTGTGTGTAGATTGAAGATAAAAAAGTATACTTTAATCCATTTTAGAATAAGGCTGTAACATAACAAAATGTGGAAAAAGAGAAGGGGGTCTGAATACTTTCCGAATGCACTGTATATGGCCATTTGTTTTGATTCATTTTTTTTCAATTTGGTAAGACATAGCAAGTCAATACAAACACTGCCTATTCAGTAAATTAATGTGAGATGAATGAATTGCTACAGAGTCTGATTCAACTGATTCACATGGGCAGAAAATGCATCCAAAGTGATTTTAGATAACATTAACATTATGCACTCAATGCATGTTTACTCATAACAATATTCTCTGTTTAATATGCTGTAGTGGGTAATCTTTCAAAAAAGTATTTTATTTAAATTACATGTCATTACAAAAACCTTAACATAAAAAGGACACATTTCATTTGCTGCAAACCAAATTATTTGGCCTCAGTATTAAATGCAGTAGCAAAATGCATAATGAAAAGCTCACTAGGTGAAGCAGTACCTAACTAATACATAAAGCAGTTAGTAGCAGCATTACCTGACAATACACATTGGCTATGTTCCCAAAACGCACACATGCCAATGATTGTCTAAGAAAGCATTTAAGTTGATTTCATCGACATTACAAACACTGAGAACAGAATAGAATTTGTTTCAAAAAAATATATCCACAATTTTAAGTACAACATTTAATTGTATAATGTTTAGACATCTATACTGTTTTCAGTTGGACAAGAACACAATGGTCAACTCAGCCTCCTGCTCAATAGAGCGGAGCCAAACAACTTTCCCTTGTCTGAATATCCCCCCCTCTCTCTCTGTCTCAGGGTACTTCAATGGTACTTTTATACTGAGCACCTCTGACCCATAGAACACTACCATGGTTGGCATCTTGTTTGATTAATGTTCCCTGTTAGTGTCTCTGGCTCTATCAGCCTTTCCCTCCATTTTGAAAGGCTGTTGTGCTGCTGATTGTGGATTTCTTAAGCTCTATCCTCATGGACTGGCTCTCTGCTCTCATTCCTCCAGACATCCCCAGAACTCCCAGCATGGCTTTGCCCGTCTTCAGGCTCTTGGACATGGGGATACGGGTGAGTCCTGCCCGGGATGGGTGGGCATCATGCCCAGGCTGGATGATACAGGGATAGGATAGAGAGAGGATAGAATGAGGAGAGGTGTGAGAGGAGTGGAGAGGAGGCCACAACAGAGAAAGTGGTAGAAGAAAATGATGAATTACTATGGGGGAAAATGTATGAAAACATTTCCCTTTGAGAACATTTACTATATGACTTGTAAATATTTAGTTATTCTTTCAAGACCAAGTGAGGGAGTACTGTTTATGTCAGGCTATCCATCCTCCCCACAAAGACCTCATTATACCGACTGCTTAGTGAAACGCCATTATTTTGCCAGTTCATAAACATAATCATTTCATATATTTCCTTCAAAAGCTTCATAACTTAATTGGGGGTGAAGAGGGTGAATTCAACAAAAAAATGATAAGCTTGAAGGAGTGAGTTACAGGTTAACATAACAGCCAGGGGAATTTGTGTTCTGAGGAGACTCACCACAGCTTGTGTTGGTCTGGCAGGGGTGGACATGACTGGAGTGATTGTGATGCTGCTCATCACTTTACTGGGTGTGGTTTTGAGGGCTGCAGTGCTGTTGCGAGGGGAGCGCAACACCGTGCCCGTGGATAACGTCATCTCTCTGTTACACTCCGTTGCCATGCCGACAGGCCTAACCACCACCTTGGGACCTGTGTTGTTGTGGCCCTCAGATGGGCCCTTGTGGAACTGGGAGCCATGCAGGTGGATGTGGATCTTATTGTCCTCTGTGGTGGTGATGGTCCTGGAGTTGGAGTTGTACTTCCTGATCGGTGTGGGGACCATCTGTTTCTCAGGGGTCACCTTGAACATTGCCCGGTCCATGGTCATCTCATGGGGCTCTGGGGAGGCAGACATGTTGGACAGCATGGAGGTGCTGATCGTCATGATGGAAATGGGTGACATGGGCCTGCCTGAGGAGGAAAAGGAGGAGGAAGATGAGGAGGCCTTGCTGCACTCTGGTGACTTGGCCCTGGAGATGGTGGTGATGCTGACTGTGGACTTGGCCCTCTCTGGTCCCCCTGGCCCGGCGCTGGCTCTGCCCCTTGAAGAGGTGGTGGTGTGGGTGTGGGTGGGAATGATGGTAATCCGAGGCTTCTGGTGGACCTGTAGGGTGGGACTGAGGTTGGAGCTGGAGTAAAGGTCCTCAGCAGTGGGACTGCTGATCTCCAAGGTAGCCGTGCTGTTCTGGTGGTCTGGGGTCACTCTGATGCATAAAGGCTGCCCTTCCTTTTGGGACATGGTCAGCTCAGAATGCATGGATTCGCTGTTGATACGCACAGACTTGTCCACATTACCACCCTGATGGATGTTTTCCCTCTTCCGCATCCAGGGAATCCAAGACTTCTTCATGCTGAGGTCAGCGGCAGCAGAGGGTGAGAAGCGTTCATGACCAACGGCTTTCTCTGTGGGTTTCTTGATGCCCTTCTGTCGAAGATTACTCATGATGTGATTATCTTCCTGGACAGACTTCCTGATGAACACAGCTGGGGTGTCCTCTTCTGCCATCTCATTGGCCAGTGCATCAGTCTGCACTCCCTTGGACGCCATGGCAATGTCCACCATCCTCCTCCCATTCAGGCTGGGTCGTAGAGCACGGCTGTGGCACTTGGTCACCTCCAGCTCTTTGGTGAGATGGAGGACCTCAATGCTCATCTTGTTCTTCTTCTCCTCGTCCTCTAGGAACCTCTGCTGGAGGAAGGAGTAGTCCACTTGGAGCTGAGAGAGCTGGTCTTCTTTGTTCATCAGCTCATGGATCTTCTCCTTGAAGGCTACGACGTTGTTCTGCAAGTCTCTGGTTTTGGCCTCCTCCGTCTTGTAGCGCTGTCGTAGGTCTGCTTCTTGGCTTTCCACCTCTCCTTTCTCTATACCTTTATACCGGGCGATCTGACTCTTCATCTCCTCCACCTGCTGGGAGAGAATGTTGGCCTTGTTTTGTTCTGTCATAAACTTTTTCTCCAGCAGGTCGTACTGATCTTCTGTCTTTATCAAATCTCCTTCCACAACCTCCAGCTGCTTGAGACGGTTTTTTAACCACTCTATTTCAACTGTTAGCTCCTTCACCCTGTTGTACTCTTTCGAACCCCCATCTGACAATCTTCCCAGTTCCCTCTTCACTATATTTTCTGCCTCCTCCAATCTATCTAACCTCTTGTTCGTTTGGCTGACTTTGGAGCTCAGATCCTTGCTCTTTTCCATTTCACATGCAAGCCTAGTACTAAGCTCTCCTTTCTCTCTGGTGAGGGTCCCTACCTTGGCTTCCATCTCTGATTTCAACTTCAGGAGCTTTTTACTCTCCTCTATTAATCTCTCAGTCACCTCCATAACCTTGCCCTGCTCATCCTTGAACATCTTACTCAAATCATCCCTCTTCTTGTCCTCTAACATATTCTTCCTCTCATCAACCATTACCACAGTGAATGACTTCAGCTTCGCCAGGTCATCTTTAAGGCCCTGCTCAGTCTTTTCCAGTCTCAGCTCAGAGGATTCCATCTCTTTCATGCATATCTTAACTGCTACCAGTTCGTCGGTGAGCTCCTTCGACATGCCCTTCTCTCTCTCCAGAGCGGAGTGTAACTGGGAGCACTCTGCCTTACTGGTGTTGAATGCCCCCTCTAGTCTTTCCAGCTCCACCATCCTTCTCTGGAGCTTCTCCATCTGCAGCCTGAGTTCTTTCCCTCGGCTCACCTCTTCCTGCAGCCTCATCCTCAGCTCCCTATACTGGACCTCTGCCTTGGTGATTTCCTCATCCTGCCCTTTCATCTCAAATACCCATTTGCGGAGGTTCTCCAGTTCTGTCATTAGGTTAGAGTTCCCACACTCCCCTTTGCTGATCTTATCCCTCAGCTCGTGCAACTCCTTTTCTGACCTCCTCAGTGCTACGTTGCTCTCCTCCAGCTCCTCCAGCTTGTGGTTGAGTCCAGACAGCTTGGCATCCAGCTGGCGGTTCTGGGACTCCTGGCTGGCCAGCTTGGCGGTCATCTCCTCCTGCTCCTGGGTGAACTTGGCCTGGTGTTCCTTCAGCTCGCCCTCCAAGTTCAGGGCCCTCTGGCTGTCCTTCTGGGCCCGGTCACTGGCGTTGCTCAGGGTCTGCTCCCTCTCCTGCAGCTGCTGGGTCAGCACCTGGACCCTCTGGCTCTGCTGGTCCATCTGCTCTAGGTGGAGTTGCTGCTCATCTACCAGCATCAGAGCAAAGGACTTCAGTTTGACCAGCTCCTCTCTTACCTTCTCCAGACGCTTGGTGTGCTCCTTCTCTTTACGCACCTGGTAGGCTTTCTCATTCTCCAGCAACCTCTTTAATCTGTTGAGAGAAAAATAAAATAGATAAAGGACAAGTAAGGATGTGTGTAAATTGTTCTGCTGCACTGTACATCCTGGAAGTAACAGTGTTTCATATGGTGTGTCATACTGTATCACAAAGAACAATATAATTTCAAACTGTTACACTTTAGCCAAGCTTGATACTTTGAATCACAAGCATGTTTTGAATTTCTACAGAAATGTCAAACCATAGAACATTTGATTCACATGAGAGAAGTGATTGAACTCATAATACAGTAAGCTGCCATGAAACGTACAGTGTTTAAGATACCATTCATTTACAATATATAACTACTGGTATTCACTGCTGCTACATACTCTTTGTGATGAATGCATGCATACATCAATCTAAAGATATACATTATTTTCTCATGTTCCCAATTAATAAACCTGGTAGATGTTAAATGGACACAGAGGAAATCAAGCTCTATTACTGTATAATGGATGGTCAGGAGAAGGCAGGATACATTTAAAAAATGGTTCACAGGGAACCACATTGATGGGTCAGATCAGAGACTGAACCATCCACTGATTCTCTTTGGCTCAGCTAGCCATGTGTGACGAGGTGTGAATGAAGGAGTCAGGCGCAGGAGGTAAAACACCGAAGTCCAGAGTTTAATAAGTTTACATAAATCAAACGCTCCCAGCGTGAAAACGAAACTATAACAAGGGAAAATATTCCACCTTGGCAAGTACGAATAGAAGAGTAGCTCAAACGAGCTACTCGCTCTCACAATAAACAATCACTCACAAAGATAAGGGGAACAGAGGGAACACTTATACACATACTAATTAAGGGAATGAGCACCAGGTGTGTGTGATTGACAAGACAAGACATGACAAGTGGAGTGATGAGAATGGGATCGGCAGTAGCTAGTAAGCCGGTGACGAAGAGCGCCGAAACCTGCCCGAACAAGGAGGGGAGGCAGCCTCGGCGGAAGTCGTGACACCATGCCTCTCATACTTCATTTGGCAAAGAACTGCAGCACACTGAAAGAGCTAGTACACTAGGAGAAATTGCCAAAAAGTCCCTCACTGTTCTCCATCCTTGCTTCTGGGATCAAGACTGAGAAAACTAAATGCGAATGAAAGTTTGACTAAACCCCCACTGAGCAATCTCTTTTTGTTTCTGCTTCTTTGTCTGCTGTGCATGTCCATATGAGGAATCTCAGCAGACAGAGAAAGCCTGTAACAAGTTACATGCAAAAGACACTGAATGCATAGTTGTCTTGGGAACTCTACATATTTTGTCACACTTGATATAAAAATACATACAGTGCATCTCACACTGAGCTGCAATATCAAGCGAGAAACACATTCTGACAGCAGTACATATCATGCCAGCAGAAACAGCTGCACTCTAAACAACTTAGACAGCATTCAAAACTTACACACTATTATTGATGCATTACAGGAGAGTCTATGTCTAACATGTTTGCCATAGTAGAGGATCCACTCCAGTTCAGAGTTGGCATAGCCCCCTTCTACACCGGAACTCTACCATCACATTCCAAGCATGTCATTAGGACAATGAAAGGTGAATAAAAACTGTGTGTGTAGCACCGGACCTTTAGCTGGTCACCTCACCCATATACAGCAGGCAGGCACAGCTCTGTGGGTCTCTGGTTTGGACTGTGAGTGGGTGGGAGGGACCCTGGCCAGAGGAGGGCGTTCTCTACACTCCTCAATTTGTTTCCCCCTTTTTTGTGTTCACTTACAAGCAATGCGGAGCTTGTTTCAAGGGAAATGTCTCCTACATACAGGCTCTCACAATAGCCTATTTCAGACACACTTAGTCATGTCTGCATGATTGAAGTTACTTCTTACATTACTTAAAGTGGTTTCTATAGAGACAGTACTGTTTTGGCTAAGCCACATTCTGTTAATGGAAAACAATGCAAAGTACATTTAAGTCATTTAGCAGACGCTCTTATCCAGAGCGACTTACAGTTAGTGAATACATATTTTTTTTATACTGGCCCCCCGTGGGAATCGAACCCACAACCCTGGCGTTGCAAACACCATGCTCTATCAACTGAGCTACATCCCTGCCGGCCATTCCCTACCCTACCCTGGACCAATTGTGCGCCGCCCATGAGTCTCCCGGTCGCGGCCGGCGGCGACAGAGCCTGGATTCGAACCAGGATCTCTAGTGGCACAGTTAGCACTGCGATGCAGTGCCTTAGACCACTGCGCCACTCAGGAGTACCCACATGAAAAAATACTATAGTATACTATGGTCTAAATACTGTAGTGTTTTTGCAGACTTTACTGTAGTATTCACTGTTGTGTTCTTGTGGACATAACTGTAGTATACTATAGTATTCACTGAAGTGTTTTTGCGGACATGACTGAAGTATACTGTAGTATTTACAGTAGTGTTTTTGCAGACTTTACTGTAGTATTCACAGTCTTTTTTTTTGCGGACATGGCTGTAGTATACTATCAGGGCCAGATCTAGCCTTTTGGTGGCCCTAAGCTAGATTTGGTTTACGGCGGAGAGAACTTTACATTTTAAAGTTAATTTCCTGCAATGCTACTAGAGAAAGTTTAGAAGTTTTAAGGCAAGTTTTTTTTGCAGTTCTACACATTTTGCCATGACTTATGCAATGTTCATGATATACAGTATGAGTGAGAGTGACTAACAAAATCAATGGGGGCCCCCTGGAGGTTAAGGCCCCTGGGCACGTGCCCTGCGTGCCCAGTCGGTATTCTACAAGTTTAGATAATGTCAAGGGGTGCTGAAGGTGGGTGTGGTGCAGGAATCAAGCGCAGGACGCAGAAGCTCAGTCCAAAAGACTTTAGTGAAATATTCACGGAGTAAATGAGCACAATAAGCCCGGAGGCGAAATAACGGCGCACACAGGCGTCAAATAAACGGCGCACTAACATGTGCGAAAACCTCTCCAAACACTGGAGGAAAGTACGTAGCTCAAACACCAAAACAGAAGAGCAATCACACAAACACAGACACACACAACGGGACTTAAATAGGACACTAACGAGGACTAACTAGACACAGGTGCACAACATCAAGACAAAACCAAACGAACATGAAACATAGATCGGTGGCAGCTAGTACTCCGGGGATGACGACCGCCGAAGCCTGCCCGAACCAGGAGGAGGAGCAGCCTCGGCCGAAACCGTGACAGTACCCCCCCTTGACGCGCGGCTCCAGCCGTGCGCCGACCCCGGCCTCGGGGACGACCAGGAGGACGCGGAGCAGGGCGCGCGGGATGGTCCCGGTGGAACTCCGACAGGAGAGATGGGTCTAGGATGTCCCTCCGCGGCACCCAGCACCGCTCCTCCGGGCCGTACCCCTCCCACTCCACGAGATACTGGAGACCCCCCATCCGGCGCCTTGAGTCCAAGATGGACCGAACGGTGTACGCCGGAGTCCCCTCGATGTCCAGTGGGGGCGGAGGAGTCTCTCCTATCTCACCTTCCTGGAGTGGACCAGCTACCACCGGCCTGAGAAGAGACACATGGAACGAGGGGTTAATATTCTTATATTCAACAGGTAGATGTAACCTATAACACACCTCGTTCAATCTTCTCAGGATTTTAAAAGGCCCCACAAACCGCCGACCCAGCTTCCGGCAGGGCAGGCGGAGGGGTAGGTTTCTGGTAGAGAGCCAGACTCGATCTCCGGGTGCGTACACCGGCCCTTCACTGCGGTGGAGATCGGCGCTCGCCTTGTGACGACGGATGGCCCGCTGCAGGTGGACGTGGGCAGCGTTCCACGTCTCCTCCGAGCGCCTCATCCAATCATCCACCGCAGGGGCCTCGATCTGGCTCTGCTGCCAAGGTGCCAGAACCGGCTGGTAACCTAACACACATTGGAAGGCGGTTAGGTTGGTAGAGGAGTGGCGGAGAGAGTTCTGGGCCATCTCGGCCCAGGGAATGTATCGAGCCCACTCCTCAGGCCGGTCCTGGCAATACGACCTCAGAAACCTACCCACATCCTGGTTGACACGTTCTACCTGCCCGTTACTCTCCGGGTGGTACCCTGAGGTAAGGCTAACCGAGACCCCCAAACGCTCCATGAACGCTCTCCAAACTCGGGAGGTAAACTGGGGGCCTCGATCAGACACTATATCCTCGGGTACCCCGTAATGCCGGAAGACGTGGGTAAATAGGGCCTCTGCGGTTTGTAGGGCAGTAGGCAGACCCGACATAGGGAGAAGACGACAGGCCTTAGAGAACCGGTCCACAATGACCAGGATGGTGGTATTCCCCTGAGAGAGGGGAAGGTCTATCACAAAATCCACCGAGAGGTGGGACCATGGTCGTTGTGGAACGGGCAGGGGTTGTAACTTACCCCTGGGCAGGTGTCTGGGCGCCTTACACTGGGCGCACACCGAGCAGGAGGAGACATAAACCCTCACATCCCTGGCTAACGTGGGCCACCAGTATTTAGTGCTAAGACAATGCACTGTGTTTAGGTGGCGGAGTTTAGGTGGCGTGCCGGACCGTTGAGAGAGAACGGCCCCTATACCAGCCTCAGACGCGTCCACCTCAACCTGAAAGGGTAATGCGGGATCCGGATGCGCCAGCACCGGAGCCGACGTAAACAGGTCCTTCAGTTTCCTAAAGGCCCTGTCCGCATCAGCTGACCACTGCAGGCGCACCGGACCCCCTTTCAGAAGGGACGTGATAGGAGCTGCCACCTGTCCAAAACCCCGGATAAACCTCCGGTAGTAATTCGCAAAACCCAAGAACTGCTGCACCTCTTTGACAGTGGTTGGGGTTTGCCAATTACGCACAGCGGACACACGATCCACCTCCATTCTCACCCCTGACGCGGACAACCGATAACCCAAAAAGGAGACCGACTCCTGGAAAAAACAGACATTTCTCTGCCTTGACATATAGGTCGTGCTCCAACAGCCTCCTCAATACACGACGCACCAGGGTTATATGCTGGGCTCGGGTAGACGAGTACACCAGAATGTCATCAATGTACACGACCACCCCTT